AGTGGCTCCCTAAGCCTTAATTCAAATCTGGCCTTGCCAGCTGTGTAACCCTAGGCAAGCTGCTTAGTTGCTGTTTGCCTCAGTTTCTTTATCTATAAAATGGGGACAATAATAGCACCCTACCTCCCAGGGTTGTTGTGATGATAAAATGAGGTAATATTTGTAAAGTGCTTATCAAAGTGCCTGGTGTATGGTATTATGTTAGCTATTCCTTACTCCACACCTCAAAACACATCTATGTCCTTATCCACCTTCTCCTCTCTCACTTCAGACTTTCAGGAAAAGGATGCCCTTTTCCTTGACAAGGCTAATCCCTCTTCTATGTCTGCCAACTCATCTATCTCATATTTTTGCAGGTATTTTCCTTCTTCATTATTCTCATTCTCTCTCTCTCTCTCTCTCTCTCTCTCTCTCTCTCTCTCTCTCTCTCTCTCTCTCTCTCTCTCTCTCATCTACCACTGTCAGTTCAGCAAATATTTATTAGTTGCCTACTATGTGATTATCAGGAGATGCCTTACTAGGCTCTAAGTTTAGAAATATAATGCCTCCTCTTCAAGGAGAGAAAAGTGGATGAGATCCAAATGGACAAATGCTGGCTCATCTCTTTGCCAAGGTAAAACCCTCTGATCCCTTTCCATCTGTTCTCCAGAAGATTGTCCCCTATATTATTCCCACGCTCTCTCAAATGTTTGGTCTTTCCTGTGTCCTGGCTGTTTCCCCAATGCCTGCAAAAGTGCTTGTGTCTCTCCAATCCAAACCCCACCCAACACCTCATTTGATCTGGCTATCCCTGCTAACTACCATCCTGTATTTTTCCTCTCCTTCTTGGCTAAATTCCTTGAGCAAACCACGTACACTAGGTTTGTCCACCTCATCTTCTCTTCTTTTCTCCTGAACTCTCTGCAGTCTGGCTTCCAGTCTTATCATTCAAGTGAAACCAAAGTAAACCATGACCTCTTAATTATTAAGTCTAATGGCCCTTTCTCAACCCCCTCCTTCTTGACTTCTCTGCAGCTTTTGACATTAGCACCCTCTCCTCCTGGGTACTCTCTTATCTATAAGTTTTCATGATACTGTTCTCACCTGTTTCTCTTCCTAATGGTCTGATGGCTCCTTCTCACACTCCTTTGGTGGACCATCATCAGGGTCATACTCACTAATCATGGGTGTCCCATGTGGCTGTATCCTGGATCGCTTTCCCTTCTCCTTCTATACTATATCAATTAGTGCACGCAATGCATGCACTTCCTAGACTTATACATCCAGTACTGAGTTCTAGTCTAGAATTACCAACTGCATTGGACATTTCAAACTAGATGTACTCTAGATATCTCAGACTCAACATGTCCAAAACAACTGCTACGTCATAACCCACACCTCAGCCCTCCCCTCTTCCCAAACCCCCTTCAAGGGCACCCACGTTCTCTTAGTCACCTAAGCTCACAACCTTAGTGTCATCTTCGATTGCTCGTTGGCACTCATTCCACATGTCTGCCTAATCTGTTATCGAGTTTTGTCATTTCTACCTTCATGACATTTGTCATATATCGCCTCTTCTCTCCACTCACAGAGCCTCTACCCTGGTACAGGACCTTACCACCTAATGTCTAGATTGTTGCAATAGCCTGCTGGTTGGCCTTCCTGCCTCCAGTCTCTCCCCATTCCAGGCCATCTCCTACTCAACTACCAAAATGATTTTTTTTTCCTTTGGTGAGGCAATCGGAGTTAAGTGACCTGCTCAGGTCCTACTGCTAGTAAGTGTCAAGTGTCTGAGGCTGGATTTGAACTCAGGTCCTCCTGACTCTAGGGCTGGTGTTCTATCCGCTGTGCCACCTAACTACCCCCAAATGATTTTCTTACAGCACATTTCTGACCAGGTCATTTCTCTGTTCACCAAACCCCTATGCTCCCTATTATATTCAGGATCAAATATGAAATGTTATGGCATTAAAAGTCCTTCACCAGCCAGACTTCTCCCACCCCTCCAGTCTTCTTACATTATTCCCCTTCACAGACGCAGCAATCTCGTTACATCATCTTGCTTGTTGTGCCTCCTACGCAATATTCCATCTCCTCTATCTGCCTTTTCACTGGCTGTACCCCATGCCTGGAATGCTCTCTCCACATATTTGACTTTTGACATCCCTTGAAGTCCCCCTTCAAGACTCAGCTCAAATCCTACTTTCTGCAAGAGACATTTTACAGATTTAGTCCTCTCTCACCCTCCCTACCCAACTCCAGAGATTACCTTGTATTTGTGCAACATACATCTTATTTTTACATTCTTATTTGCATCTTGTCTCACCATTAGAATGTCAGTTCTTTGAGGGGCAGCTAGGTGGAGCAGTGGATAGAGCACCAGCCCTGAAGTCAGGAGGACCTGAGTTCAAATTTGACCTCAGACCAAATACTTGACACTCATTAGCTGTGTGGCCTTGGGCAAGTCACTTAACCCCAATTGCTTAAAAAAAAAGAATGTTAGTTCTTTGAAGGCAGGGGGCCCTGTTTTTGCATTTATTTGCATCCCCAGCTCTGAGCAGAGTGCCTATTATATTGTAAGTATCTGTTTGTTGCATGACTGAATAGACTGCTCGGATTTCGATTTTTCACTCCCAAGACAAGGTAATATGAGTACAGTTTTTGGGGAGATGGGGAAGGTGGAAGAGCTGATGAAAAAGGGGGGATCCCTCCCCAAAGTGTGGTAGCAGCAGCTGCAGCCCCAGCAACACTGTAGCAGATGAAAGCAGCTGAAAAACAGTTTTCCAAAAACAGTTTCCCTCCCCAACCCCACAAGGAATGGTGAAAACTGAAGAGGTAAGCAATAAGGTATTGGATTGCTTTTTATCAGTCCCTTTCCTCGGTGGCCAGAGGCTGGTAAAAAGCAGATGTGTTTCAAAGTCTGTCCTTTCCTTATTCCCCTGCACCTAGCCCTATTTTACCCATATCTGACATTATTCATTCATTCTCCTGAAGACTGCATGTTACTGACTTATTTTGTTCCTCATAAACTACTGTGGCTGACCCAAATGTGTATTTCCTTGTGGCCATTGGTTCATGTCATAAGGGTGAGTGGACAGCTCCAGATACAGGAGACAGCAACTGTTTCTCGTGCAGTTTCTCTTTCTCTAATTGGGGGTGTGATCATAAAGCATTCGTGTCTGAAGCCCCTCTGGGCAGTCAGAGAGAGAAGTGAAATACAGGCTTGTGCTTGAATTATGGCAGTGGTTGTCTGGTTCCCTTTTTTGACCTCCCCGTCTTTGGCCCACTCCTTCATAATAAACACTCACTTAGAATGCTACAGAAATCAACTTGTAGTTTTCAGGATATAAACCAAGCATAAAAAACAGAGATTGGAAATAAACAAGATTTCAGGGTAAGCCATACCAATTCACTAGGCAGCCATGAGTCAGGGAAGTGGAAAGAAGTGGAGAGAAGAGATGATTTCATCAGCTCACAGTCTGGCAACAAGTTTTATCAAAGCAGATCACTCCTTAAGCAGGTCAGTGAGCCAGACAAGCCGACAACTGCTTGTGATAATATTTGGTCCTGGGTAGCAGTGTTCTTTCCTTTCAATCAGCTAGCCTCTGACCCTGATGTGAGGGCACATCTGCCCTCCTCTCTCCACCTCACCCCCTAATCCCCCTCCTCCTTGTCAAATTTCTATGAGGGACTCAAAATTCCTGGGCATGACTCATCTTTATTCTGACTCCCATGATTCTTTAATCTCTCCTTCCAGATGAAACCACACTTCTTATCAACCTCTTGGTGATAAGGGGCTGCATGTTTCAGAACTAAATTCCCAAGGACAGGATTAATACAATCTGGGCCATTCATTCAGTCTGCCCCATCAGACAATGAAACTAAGTACATAATATTTTCTGTGGAACTCAGATGTCTGGCTCCCCTAAGATCATGAAGCTTGGGGCTTCTTAATGACACCTTGACTTATAAGGCTGCCACACCCTGCAGAGGGAAGGGCTCTCTCTTTTCTACTGGCTTATCCAAATGCTGTACTGCTCTCAATCCATACAATATTTCTTTGCCTCTGGAGATGAGTGAAAACTCAAAGATCCCAGCAGTCTATTTGGGTCCAGGCCAATCTTCCATCTGGAAGGGAAGGCCTTAGACAAATCCAAAAATTAAACAGTACTTACCCCCACCCACCCACTCTCAACCCCATTCCAATCCTGACACAAAAAGCTTAATATTCTACTGGGGGCATGTAAATTTTAAGTAAGTACGAAGAGCATCAAAATAATGTAAAGCAATTCTAAGAACGAGTGAGCCTCTTCCATACTGCTCACAAAACTACTCATTGGACCAGTCCTTCAAAACAAAACAAAACAAAAAACTTTTTATTTGCCTCTCCCATTGCACCAAGCTTCTGTGGTCTATGTGTCTTCTCATTTACCACTCAAGTGCCTCTGCTTCCTCTCCTCCTATTCCTCAATTCCTTGTAATCTAGTCCCTCCACTCTACTGATATGACTCTCTTAAAGCGACTTAGAAAGATCAGCTATTTTTAGGTTGATGATGACAAGGATGGGAAAAGAGCCCTGTTTTGAAGTCAGAGACCTGAGTGTGGCAGAGGGGCTAATAGGGCCTCTGCCTGTTTCTTACCTATGTGACCTTGGGCAAGTCACTTTCCAGATATACTCATTTCCTAATTTGTTGTCAATAAATGACCAATTTAATTGACAGAGCTCTGGAATCAGATCTGGACAAACCACCTCCTTTTTGCTAGATTTCCAGACTGGCCAGAGGGCTCCACATTGTCAGTCCTTGCTTCTAGTTGGTGAGGAAGTGCCCAGACAAAACATCTCTTTTCTAGGCTCCTGGACCAGCCATAGGAAATGAAAGGGATGACAGTCAGAAGGCCAGGTCAGGACAAACCACCTCCCAAGCTGTCTAGACTTGCCTCAATTCACAGAAACTTACTTCTGGCTGTTGTGAAGGTTAGACCAACCAAAAATTTTACCCTAGAGTCTTCTAATCACCTACCTTCAGCAGCAGACCTAACACAGTGCTGTCTAGACTCATTCTCCAGTACTTGACACACTCCCCATCCTTGTGATCCAGAACCCCTGGCTGCCATAGAACAGCCCTCCCCCAAACTCTGTCCATTCGTCATTCCTATCCTCTATGACCCTCTTCCTACACATCCCATTCCAGATCTTCATGAAACTGTGCCTTCTGGAATGCCTGGCTGGTATTTAACCACATTCCTTTCATCTGACCCTTTTGACTCACTAACAGTGGCTAGAAATCCAGCACAGCAGCACCAACAAGACATAACACTTATCCCACTTCACAGGCATTACCAAATGCCAGACGCTCTGCTGCACACTCTGCTATCATCTTATTTGATCCTCAAAACAACCTTGGCAGATAGATGCTCTCGTTATTCCCATTTTACAGCTGAGAAAAATGAGGCAAACAGAGCTTAAATGACTTGCCTCAAGTCACACAGCTAGTAAGTGTCTGGGACTAGATTTGAACTCAGTTCTTCCTGACTCCAGGCCTGGTTCTCTATGTCCTGGGTCACCTAGCTGCCCTAGAAAACATCTTGCATACTCACCCTCTACTACCATCACTAAGCAATCTCTCTTCCTTTGAGATTAATTCAATCCAAATTTATCACCCAATCTGGATTCTGGTAGTGGTCATCCCTTCAAGCCTAAGACATTCTCCTTCCTTTCTCAACATGTTAAATGCCTGGGTCACAGCATTCCTCTCCACCCCAACTCCTTCTCTTATTCTAGCAGGCTTTGACATATGTTATGTTCTTTCAAGTAGCTCCACTTTCCAATTCCTCAGTCTACTTAGATCACAAAACCCACTTCTCCACTCCACCTCACCCACACACAAGAATGGTTACAGAATTGATTTCATCATCACTCACAAGTGTTTCATTTCCATGTTCAATATCTCTGATTTTCCTTTTTAAAAAAGTCTGTTAGTAACCTTTTGTCTTTCCACATCTCTCTATGCCTCCCTGCTCCTAAACTTCCTTGACTCCATGACCTACAGTCTCTCAGCACTGTGCCAGGTCAGAACCCTAGCTCTGGGTACGTTCTGCTCCTTACCAGTCTTGGCCTCTGGGGGAGCAGTTGAACTCTACACTACCCTACCTGCTTGCATTCCTTGTTATGTTGTCCTTTCACCCATACTGCCAAACACCAACCATTAGATTTCTCCCAACTGCTTTCTTTAGTCCTACTCCTGTTCTTCTAAACATAAATGGAAAAAATCCTGAAACCATGCTGATTGGATCTGTTACAAGTTTATACTAGCTAATCTCAACCAGGTCCTGACTAAAGCAAGGCAACCCTACTCTTCCTTCCAGATTGATTTCCCATCCCATTTACCACACTGGCTGTTCCAAAACTATTTTTTCCTTTCTTCCTATGCTGCATCCTTCTGACATAGTACTCACCTAGCTTTTCCTTAACTCTAATCTTTGATGATGAGGTCACCTTTCTGCTTGTTTAGGCTAACCCTGAACATATGCTTCCTGGGTCCCATTAGTTCCTGTCTTCTCCAATAGATTTTCTACACCATCATCCTCACTTACTATCTAATCTTTAGTCTCTCCTTATCTATTCATTGGCTCTTTCCCTGATGTCTATAAACAAATCCAAATGTCTCTTATTCTTTTATAAAAAAATCTCCATATCCTAATATGACTATCAATTATCATCACATTTCTCTTCCCTGACTCAGCTAAACACCTTGATGATGCTATCTGCAATTGCTGGCTTCACTTTTCCTCTTATTCCCTTCCAGAACTTTTGCAATTTGGATTCCATTCTCATCATTCACCTAAAACTGCTCTCTCCCAAGTTGCCAGTGATCTCTTACTAGCCAAAGCAAATGACCTTTCCTCCCATCCCAGTCTTCTTGACCTCTCTGTGTAATCTGACACTATTGATCACTTTCTTCTCCTTGACACTCCCTTCTCTCTAGGTTTTTGTGACACTGCTCTTTCCTGCTTCTCTCCCTACCTGTCTGACCATTCTATCTCAGCTTCTCTTGCTGGATCTTCTTCTTATGTAATGCCCACTAACTGAGGTGGGCATTGTGCCCCAGTGCTTTGGCCTGGTCCCTCTTCTCTTTTCTGTCAATATTCTCTCACTTTGTGATCACATCAACTCCTATGAGTTCAACCACCCCTCTATGTATATGATTACTAGTTTGATTTATCTATCCCTAATATCTCACCTGAGCTGCACTTCCACATCACCAACTGCCTACGTCTGCAATAAGATCATCTCAAACTTAGCACGTTAAAAACAGAATTCCTTATTCTTACCCCCCCAAGACCTTCCTTCTCCCCATCTTTTCTGTTACTGCCAAAGGTATCACCATTCTTCCCATCCCCCAGATTCATAATCTTGGTATCATTCTTAATCCCTCTCTCTTATTTATCCTACATATCTAATCAGTTGCCAGATTCTGTCACTTATTTCTCTGCAGCATCTGTTTACTATGACCACTTCTCTCTATTTACATAACCACTATGCTAGTTCAGACTCTTATCCCCTTTTGCCTGGACTATTGAACTAGCCCGTTGTTGGGCTTTCTCCCTTATATCTCTCCTCACTCCAATCTATCCTCCAGAGAGCTGCCAAAGTGTTTTCATAAAACCCAAGTCTGACCATGTCAGTCCTCTGCCAATAAATTTCAAGGTCAAATAAAAAATCCCTTTTTGACCTTTAAAAGTTTTCCTATCCTAGCCTCTCCTAGCTTTCTAATATTCTTCCATCCCTCCACAATCCAACAGTACTGACCTACTTCCTTCACAAAGGACACTTTGTTTGCCAGCTGGGTGATGACACAATGGATTTGCCCTATGACTGGAAGATTCTCACTCCTAACTTTTAATTTTTAGAACCCCTGGCTTCTTGGAAAAACTCAGTTGAAGTGTCACCACTTCCAGAGGGTCTTTCCCGGTTACCTCCCGGAAAAGTACTAATGCCAAATTTTCCTTTTATCTACTCTATTTCTGTAGAACCTTTGTTGTTATGTTAGTTGTTTCAGTCATGTCTGACTCTCTGTGACCCCATTTAGGGTTTTCTTGCTAGAGATACTGGAGTTGTCTGCCTTTTCCAGCTCATTTTTATAGATGAGGAAATGAGACAAAGAGGGTAAAGTGATTTGACCAGGATCACACAGCTAGTAAGTATCTGATGCTGGGTTTGAACTCAGGTCTTCCTGACTCTGGGGCTGGCTCTCTAACCACTGAACCACCTAGTTGCTTAGCATGTTTAAGTAATAAAAACTCACATTTCTCTTATGCTTGAAAATTTACAAAGTGCTTTCCTGAAAATAACCCTCCTTTTTGGCTGATGTGAAAATGGAAGCTCACCAAGGTTACCCGTAGCTCAGTGTCAGAAGCAGCAGCGTTTGAATTCCAGTCTGTTGACTCAGCTCTAGCCCTTGCTACCCTGCAGCCCCACGGGGTTGGCTTGTCATTGTCGGCTTGTCCTGGAGGTACTGATTTCAGAAGACTGAAGATAAAGCAGGGACTTACAGAGCGATGCTGTATCAGAGTAGCAGAATTCCACCTTCATTTTCAGGCATGGCCAACACATTCATTTGTCTTACTTGGCTATATTTATTATAAGGAAGGGCTTGGGATAGGGTATGACTATTAACAGGTGGTGATAGAGGTTTAAAAATAAAAACAACAAAAGAAAAACCATCAATTAAGAACACCAAACATGCTAAATAAATAACAAATAAATAAATAAAGAGGGCCCCCCCCCAAAAGGACAATTTTATTTCTTCCCTTCCAGCACAGTTGGCAGCCAGCTACTATTTCCTTATTAAGAGAACGAGGCTCCCCTATGCTTCAGTTCTACCCCCAACCCAGACTCCTGAGGAACAATTCTTTTTTGAGGGTTGTCTAAGGGGTCCTCCCCAGAAAGGGGAAAGGTTCTTTCTTTCTTTTTTTGTTTTAAAGTTCCCAGAGCATAAATGTGAATCAGGTACGGATGTGCAGTTTTATTTTCCCATACAGAAAAGAGAATGCTAAACAGTGAAGAATCCGAGAATGATTCCCATCATTTGAGAGGCTTCACTACAACATTTGCAGTAGGGTTGTTCTTTGGCTGTTTATATTTGCCCTGAACTGAGTGCAGACTGATCAATGCCAAGAAAGCTCATTGCTGTCCAGTGGACTTTCTCTCTGGGCTACTTTCCCCCTCTCAGTTACTGCCTCTGGTTCTGCTACCACTGCTCTGGGAGCTGATCCACTGCGCTCTAGTGCCCCACCCCCCTAAAAAAGGGAAAGATGCCAGGCTGCCCTTCAAAATCTCACAAAGTTCTGTGCTGAAGAAAAGAAGTCCCAAACAGAGCTTGCCTGATCCCAGCTGCACAGACTTGCCTAGGAGGCCATGTGCTCACAGGCTGGTCCTATGGGGCAAAGAGCACCTTCCCTCTGCACCCCTCCTCCTTCCAGAGCTCAGAGAGTCAACCTCATACTTTGTGGTCAACAGGAAAGAAAAGCTGAGGGGCAGGGATTGCTTCTGTGGGCATATCCATGGAGTTCCAGCCCAGCATCCCATCAACCACGGCCTCGTGGTGAAGAGGAAGGACCTCTCTATTACGTATCCCCAAGGGGTCTGCTTAATTAAATTTCATAATTAAATTATGAAATTTAATATATATTTTAAAATAATATTTTATTTTCCCTCAATTACATTAAAACAATTTTAACATTTTAAAAAAAGAGTTTTGAATTCCAAATTACATCTCTTCCTCGCTTTCTACCTTTCCCCCTCTCAGAGACAGTAAACAATCTGATTTAGATTATACATGTACAATCATGTGAAACATTTCCATATTGGTCATTTTGTACAAGAAGATTTGAAAAGAAAGGGAGAGAGAGAGATAGGAAGGAAGGAAGGAAGGAAGGAAGGAAGGAAGGAAGGAAGGAAGGAAGGAGGAAGGAAGGAGGGAAGGAAGGAGGGAAGGAAGGAAGGAAGGAAGGAAGGAAGGAAGGAAGGAAGGAAGGAAGGAAGGAAGGAAGGAAGGAAGGAAGGAAGGGAAAAATGGTATGATTCAGTCTGACTTAGAATCATTAACAAACAAAAA